CCTCAGAATGCTTTTAACTTTCCTTCAGACTGTGAAAACAAGTCTTGCTAGGAAGAATTATATTTGCCAAGCTATGTACAATGGCACAGGCTCAATAAGAATTCTAAGTTTTCAAAAGAGGAGGAATTGATAGGGGTAAAACCAGCAATAAATTTCTAATATCTGAAAGAAACTTAGACATGTAATTTTTTTTCCCCTGCACTATTTCATATTTCTTCAGAACAAGTTAGGCTAAATAAATCACAGTAAAACTATCCAAAGCAATTTGTTACCTTAAAATAAGTTTGGCAGCTATTGCAATAGACAGTGTTTTTTTGCAGATTTCGAATCACCATGAATGACACCACATACATCATCACCCAGGAGATGATGGTCTAAATGGGACTGCTATGTCAAAGTCTCAGCTGTCTTTTGTTTTTGTGCCCAGGCTGATCTAAGCTTTTAAGTTGTTCACTAGCTTAATTCAGTATATGAAGAAAAGCAAAGGAATTCTCCCTCTGCAGTGGTCTAAAATTTATTCATTCCGTTTAACACACTGAAGGCTTAGACTGTTTTGTCATATCTCATAAAACGTCCCCAGACAGTCTGGATACGGCCTTCCAAAGGTACATGTGTGGGAAGTCTACTGACTCCAAGAACAACATTTACCTTTGATACCATTAACAATAACCAAATGCTGATACAATCCTATCACTGATATTAGACAGATTTTGAGCTGATTAAATGAAAAATTAATTTACTTCAGAAAGTGCATCCAGCAGTCTTGAAACATGAAACTATTCATAACTTAGCCCCCATGTTCTGTGCTGAGTTATTAACAACTCCAATTCCAGCAGAATGCAATTCTAACTAGGTAATGCAAATACCATATACTACAAATAGAGCATTTCTCAAACTTTTGTTTAAAATTAAGATAACACATTCTTTTGCAATCAACCAATTTTGCCACACTTGTCAATGCAAGGGTACTATTTGCTTTCATGTTCATATGGAAAGAAGTATTGGATGGCAAGAATAATTCCTCCAACGCAAAAGCCATTGGCTACATTACCACACCCACTTACATCTGTGCTGCTTTTTTTTAGATTCAAATAATTCTAATTATTTGTTTCTCATCTTGTATATTTCATATGGTCCCAAGTATTGCATGATCACTACATCTCACAGCCTTCAATGTACACATCCTTCTATCATCTCCCTGAGACAGAGAAATACTTCCACTTTTTCAAGAAGGGAGACTTTGGTATAGACAAGCAGTTTATTTGTCCAACAGCTATCACTGAAATTATGTAGCAAAACTTCTTCCTCCCAAAGCAGCATCTTTAAGACTAACGACTCTTTTTCTCATGCCTTGATCCACCACACTCTCCAATCTCCACAACTCTGTTCTCTCAAAACCAGAGGCTGGATCTTACTGCATCTTCAGTTTTGTCCATAGACAGGTTTGAAGTTTGTTTCATACCAAAAGTACGCCAAGGATCTAAGCCCTAGTGCCTAAATATTGAAAGGGACCTCCAGACAATGTAACAGAATTAAATCCACAGAGCATACAGACCCAGAGCTGACCAGTGACTCACAATGCCGCCCGCACGTGACACAACAAGGGGAAAAGGAAAAGTCAGAAAATTTTGGGAAGAAGAAAACAACTTTCTTAAAGAAGAATGATTGTGGTTCCTTAATTGTTGTACAACCAGGAAAGAAAAAAAAAAAAAGGAAAAGTTATGTACATGCCCAAATATTTCTAAGAAAAATGGAGTAGAAATTCCTTGATCCACACAGTCATTATATGAATAGGGAACAAAATCCCACTGAAAAATGGGCATGGATAAAATAACTTTTTTTCTTGTGTGTGGGGAATGGAGAAGTCTTGAGTCCTTACAAGAACAAGTTTGCCTTTCTTTTGCTAAATGCAGAAAAAACCTAAGATAGATCCAGCTTATTTGGAGTGTTAAGGTTTTGTGACCTATTTGACTTACATCGGTAGATTTCTTGTTAGAGAAAATATGCAGATTTAAAATAAAAACTTATGACCTGCTAGCATATGGATCACTTAGCACTTTTAAAAGATTTAAGTTTGATACATTTTATGGCAAACTGCTTCCGTAATAAACTTCCCAGTGTTTTGAAAACTATAATACACCGTTTTTTCTTCCATAGTTCCAACAGGCAGAGTACTCTGAGAAACAGTTCTGCCTGGAAACACTAACCGAAGTTAACTTCAGAAGGAAGCAGAGTAGCAACCCACTATATATAGGCCTCTATTAGCCAGCTAGACTAACAATGTTGGCTGTCTTCCAGATAAGCACTTTCACTCTCCTGGACCCATAAGGGAGCACTGCAATTGCATGCAGGCAGGGAGTAAAGGGAGGAGCAGAAAAAGTTGCTTACTTTCATTAATATTTTCCCCTCCTTTATTCTTGTTTTAACTCATCTAGCTGAAAAGTCCAGCTGCTCTGTGCACAGTTTAAACCTCAATGGTGTCTCATTAAAATGTATGCCACCAATCACATTTGACTTACATACGTGAAAAACAAAAAGTCACTCTCAGTTGAGCTGAAGCATTGTGTGCAGGGGCATCCTTCAGGGCATGCAGCTGATGAAAGTTATTGGGGCCTCAGGCACCAAAAAGACTGAGCTGCTTAACAGAGAAAACACTAGTAAGCAAACTGTCTTACTTCCTATCTACCTCCTTGTTCCTTCCCCTTTGGCAGTTTCACTGGGAGGGCTGGTGCTTCAAAGGAGTCATCTTCTCTTGCACTTATTTGTCTTTCTGCGGTTGACAGAACTGGACTGGTGGCTATAGCAGAGATCAGACAAAAGAAGAACCTCTACTTCTCAGAAGTTGAATCTTGTGGGAGGTTTCTTCAGAGAAACCCAGATTCTGCAGAACAGTAGATAAACTTGCTCCATGAAGATATCTAGAGCTCAGAAACTACAGAAATGACCAGCAGGAAAGAACCTGCCAGAGGTCTGGGTGACAGGTCATGAAAGAGCAGGGAACTAACTCTTGCCTATCAGCCACAGGGAAAACATTCGTAAGACCTACCTGCAATGAATAGAAAGAGTAAAACCTTTCAAAAGAAAGTAAAAGCCAATGGCAAGCACAATGGACACCTGAACCTAGATGAGGAGGCTGACAATTTCAAGGCTGGAGTTGATACCGTCCTAGAAACCAGTCTGCCAAAGAGAAGAGAAACAGACTGTGTGTTACAACAGCTTTGTGCGGCTGCAGTAGAAGGAAACTGAGGAGGGACAAGCTCTGAATAAAGGAAAGACTGCTCAGAGGCAGTTCCTTTACTATAGCCCTTTCTGTGCTGCATCTCATGTCTCTGCCTCCTCTCTTCCTCCTTGTAACCACCTAGCGTTAACTTAAGCACTATTTTACCCACTGGATATAAACATATTCAAACAACATTTATTTAAAATATCGTTTTGGATGACTGGGCAAGGAAGACGCAGTCATTTCACTTGCTTTTGTGTGCAAGTCTAAACACTATAAATTCCTGCCCAGTTTTATATTCTCATTTCCTCTCTGTCCACTCTGATGTGTTCTGTCCCACTCCTGAAGCCACCTGGGGGCATCTGAATTAGCTGTAACTAAAGTTGCATAACTTCTAAGTTGAGAAGTCAATCCCGGTAGAAATGTCTTGCCTGTCCAGCTTGCTCCTAGCCAAGAGGTTTGCCAAGATGAGAAAGCTGTAGCATTGCAGCATTAGCAGTAGGTTCACACTTAGCCAAAACTGTAGCATTCAGTAAATGTCATTCTCTTAATTGTTTCCAGACAGTATTGAGGGATTTGACCATTTCCACAGCATGTTGAATAACGCTGCCCTAACTATTCAACACAGGCTAGCAACACTTAATATATATTTCTGGTATTCTCCCAGCTGGAGTCAGGGCACAAAAAAAGGCCCATCCCTCCCCATTCTGGCTCAGAAGTTTACTGCAACATATAAATTGAGTACTGAATAGCCTTCTAATATTAGCACTAGTCAACAAGTTGTATAGGTTGTTAGAATTATCCAGTATTCAGAGAATAAAATATGGCAGCTTTTAGAAATGTACTACACTCTTCGAAAATCAGACTGTGTCATATGAATATTAATGAGCTAAAGGTTTTAAATCTGTCTTTAAAATTAACACAAGCAAATATCATTCCAGATGAGCTTACCCTCTTCTCTCAACCTGGAGCTCTTTCTAACACTCTATTCTAGTTGATTCTCCATATGCAGCTTCTGACCTTGTATTGCTCCTTTTACCCATTAAAAGCTCCACTGTTTTAATTGTTCTGTGGGTAGCTAGGTTGAAATATAGCTGCATTTAAATTCAACTTGGTCCTCTTAACAGTTTCTGTGTTCTATAAAGAGAAACGAATGGTTGTCAAGAGATCCTACCTTCCTTTTATCTTCTGTATGAAGTCATATTTTAGTCCCCTTCCAGATTCACAAAGTAGTAACTACAGCTAAGAAATACAAACCTTTTCTTAAGAGCTCAGATCCTTCCCTAACTAGTTTGAAAAAAACAAACAACAAAACAAAAAACAAATAAACTGAAAATCTCCCAAGAGAGTGCAATTGCAGTTCCTTAATACAGAAGAAAAATTCAGTACGGAAGTATTTCCCCTAACTCCTCCCTGATTAACACCACCAAAACAGTGTCTGAGCTATGATGAGGTTTTCGTGTGCCATGCTGAGTTGCGGGCACGGATTAGCTGGCAAGTGCACATGTACAGCAGATCAACTAATGCACTGGCTTTGAAGAAGTGAACAAGTCAGTAACCTCAAGGGTGTTAATCTATAAAAGGACTTACTAGAGATGTGTAAACAGTTCCTCCTTCTAACCTTCATAACCAATTTTTCATTTCCAAAAGATTAGATGCTTCATACAAGCTGGCAATTGCACACAGAAACATAAGTTCTCCCAGACAACACATTATCATTTTTATTTCTCTTACATGCAAGCTCTCCCCAAATGCCCATTCAGTTCTATTTTCTACTTACAATGAAATGAGAGATTTCAAGCCTTTGAATGCATCAGGCGCAATGTCAGATATTTGATTCTTGCTGATGTCTCTGTAAAGACAAGGGAGGATTAAAAAATATTTGTAAACAGGAATTTGATGAAAATATTTTAGCTGTAGTTTATTGGAAGAATATACTTGTTACAAAAACAGAACTAAAAGATCGTATTACCTCAGAGAAATTATGAACTATGTAAGAACACAGATAGGCAAATTTCAGGAACGATCAGAAAGCAATAGTCAGTATGACAGACCATAGCCTCAATAAATCAGCAGCTCCCCCGTTAATAAGGTCTTTCATTTTATGTAGGTTGAAACAAAGAGTTTTATGAAGAGCTTTGAAGAACAACAGTGAGGCAGCCCATTGAATAAAAACCGTTGCTGAAACCATATTAAGAACTATTAATAATGGAGATCGCATTGTGACTCTGCGGGGTGGCCCTCAAGCATAAGGAGCAGCCTGTGACAAAGCATAAAGGTTGTCTGAATGTTTACATGCAGGCATGGAACGCTAGCTGTGTACCAGTACAGAAGATCATATTTTGATTGTATGTGAAATGATAGATAAGGCGAGGAGAGGTTCTAAGGTAGCTGGAAAGCGCTGGCAGGACATGCATTAAGGAAGACAGCCGGATTAACGGTGTCAGCATGGGGTGGGCACCAGGGGAATGGCTTCTGAGGCAGCAACACTGCATTTATCTAAGAGAAGAAACGGTGTGGTAAATGAGATGTCAAGGTAAACATATTTATAAATACCAGGAACAAAATTCACATCAAAATCCTAGGAAATTCCACTAAGGATTAGTCTCAATTTATATGAAACAATATCAATAACTTTTAGGATGATAAAATTCTTCTGCGGTAAGACTTTTCCCACACCACCTGCGTTTAATACCAATGGGAAAGGGGATGGGAAGCAGACTACCCAGCCCCAGTCCCCAGTCCGGCACCGGTGGCACTGAGGAGTGCAGCACTGTACCACTGATGTTTGGTTTTGTACGGCAAAATTCCACCACGACCTTGATCTGGTGAGGCAAGTGAGAAGAGGGTCAATGCACCACTGGCATGTCTGCCTAGAATTTTCAGACATTAGGGAAAGCCTTTGAGCGTCTGAATGGAAATCATAGACCTTTGAAGCTGGCAGCACTGCGGGGAACATCCAGCGCATTGCAGATCCTGTCAGGGAGCCCCAGCGAGATTCCACCATTTCAGCTATGATGTGAGTGGAATTCAGCTACAGCCTGCTACAATTTTCAAGGGAAAGTGTGCTCCTGGTTTGGAAAATACCCTTCAATTTTCATCATAACCAACCAAGTATACAAAGATAAATACAGACTACGCCACAATTTCTTTATATATGGAGCCAAATTAACTACACTTGGGAGCCAGATGCTCAGAACTGGGTGCCTTACCATGACTGTCACTGCCATCCAATCTTTCTGTCAATCAGTTCAACCAGGGGCTTAGCTACACACATAACTTTCAGCCACCTCGCTGCATTCACTGACAGCTGGTATCAGCTTGTATCAGTAGTATCAAATCTTTTCACTGATAGCTGAAGCTGGAGTAATACAGTATTTCATGCACATCTTCACTGCTACTTCCGCTGGGGCACATGCTAAGAATCCCAGTCAGACTCTGAATAAACATCACCTGAACGAGAACTTAGGAATCAGAAAGTAAGAAGGTTTTCCATTCTATATGTGTTTCGAGCTGCAAATTCTGTTGGTTAAAATTTTAATGAAGCCCTCCAACTGTTTTCAAATCTAGCCACATAAAGTGGGATTTTCTTTGGTTCTTTTATAAGGCTCATGAAACAACTGCTCTGCAACCTACTGATGTTTTCTATCACAACATCCTGCCCACAAGGACAGCATTCAGTGAAGGTTTCTGGTTCTTCAGCTCAACTCACAGCAGCCAAATTTGTGGCAGTGAAAGTAGGAATATTTATTTTTATATATGTTTTGGTGAAACTTGTTTAGACTGCCTGGTAGCATTTGCTGCTTTTTCTCTAGTAATTCTTATGTGAGGAGACGTCTGATGTGAATCTGTGCTATCTATTTATGGAGGAACATATTAAAACCTATTACAATGACATGAAATCATGGGTTTGCTGAACAATGACAAGCATCTGAAAAGAGGCATCTCGTTTTTCAAACAAGTATTTCAGCACTATTTTATTGATTTGCTACATCTCAACATTTCTACCCTTTCCCTCTCCCCATGTCTGGATGCTAATGAGCGTATAACTAATGGTGCCTGAACGTGCATAAATGCCACGCTGGGTGATAACACTCACTCACTTCATGCAGATGCACTACAATCAGCATTAGAAGATAATTAGACACATTATTTCCTTTCCATTAGGGCCCAAGCTCCACTGCTGTTGGATAAGGAGGCTCAATCTCCTTCTGACTTGACTGAAGCGAAGGGATTCAATTATGTCCTTGTACTTTTGTTCCCTTCCTTTGGTCTGCTTTGGTAAGATCATCCTATTCTGTGCTCGATTTACATCAAGACAAAGAGAGATACAGGTTTTCGTAACCTGTACAACTAAGTCAATATAGATCACATAAGGCTCTTTTTCATAGTTTAGGGGATCTCTGAATCACTCAGCAGAAATGTGGCTCTTTAGCTGGAAATGCAGTAGGCTTATCAGGATTCCACCCAGGCAGGGAATACATGAGTCACCTCACACTAGTCTCCCCGCACCTCTGACAGTACGGTAGAGATCTTCTTTCAAAAGGTTGTTTAACACACCTTGGAGGGTGGCTGTGCTCAGTTACCACTTAGGGACATAAATTGGTTTTGACTTTGCACCAGGGGAGCAGGGATACCTTGTGAGTCACTGTATAACATACGACTGTATGGCTTAAAAGTCTTTACTGTAAAAGGTTTTGAAACAAACCAGTTTTATTTTTAGATGCAGCCAAATGCAAAACTATTAATAGCATTGGATGAATATTCTCTTTGTCAACCCACATTATTAGAAACAGATTACTTGATTATCTCTAACATGTAAAATGGACTGTTCTCATTTGACGAGTACTCAGCAAAAATCCATGTCATATATGGTTTAGTTTTTACAAGCTGCTTAACAAAAGTAGCAATGCCACAGAGCTACTGGGAAGACTGTGAAATCTCAAAGTGTTTTCTGCTAATGTACAGTAAAATTATTTTGACAACATAAAAAGCTGCTACAAGCATCAGAGCTAGAGAGGTACAACCACATCTTTCAAAGTGGCTCTATGTACTTGGCTCTTAGTCTCGTACTACAAACTTGTTAGTTAGAAGTCTCAGAAAAGCAAAGACAAAATGGAAGGTAATGCCATAAACTTTGGAACTCATAGGCTAGAAGTTACAGAACTATAGTGCAAGCACAATTGCTCTGTAAATGAATTCAAAATGGCATATCTGGGCCTGGATACTTCATGCAATAATGACAAGAATTTCTATTTCTGGAGATAGGACGTATCTCCTTCAAGCCCCTCAAACCTCTTCTAAAGCCCTTTAGGGGCTTAACAGGTCCTCTAGGACCTGTTACATTCACCCCACAACCAGGGGAACTATCATCCCAGATTATATAATTCAACAGCATACTTGAATCCTGTAGCTGCCAACTCTTCTTCCTGAGACAGATACATTTAGCTTCATGTAATTAATTGTGTGAGAAGATGTAGGTAATTATGATGAAGTCCGCGACACAGAAGATTGCAGCTCCTTTGCTAAAACCCAGTCACCAAAATAGCTCTCCCGTCCTGGAAGCTATTGAAGAGACATTCTAAATAGCAAACTTCAGCTAGATGCAAATATAACACTTGAATTAATATACATAAAACTTCTGCTAGCATCTTGACCTATTAATATCAAGTCATAGAAAGATTATCTTGGACAACTGGCTCTTACCTAAAAATTAATCTCAGTTATCCAATTACTTAAGAAAAGGAAACTGCATTATCTTGCAGGAAATACTCAGTAAACAATGAAAATACTGAGAGTGCTGCAAGTGAGCAGTCTAACATTCTTGCATATTTATTCACCAGAAGGAGAAAAATACAATACAATTCACAATGTTATGCTAATACTATGCTCTGAATTATATAAAATATTATTATAAATAATAGTTAATAATAAGGATGATAACAACAACAACAATAACAACATTCTTCGTTTGTACCCAGGGTAGGAACTAGTGAAATCAATACCTTCATGCTATTCCACTGGTCATTGAAATCAAAGTGACAGAAATTAGGAAAGGCTGAAGACTTCAGTGATATCAAACATGTTCTTCCTCTATAAGGAAAAGCATGGATAATTCTTTTCTTTTAAGAGGTAGTCTTTTGACCAAAGTATATTCTTGTGTTAACAATACTAGGAATCTTGCACACGGAAAAGATGATGCCAATAATCTCTTCAAATATTAGAACAATGTCCTCAATTAAACTTTATGTAACAACAGCGATGCCCCATTTAGAGCCTCACTGTCCAGTAGGAATAAAACTTTAAGAAGGAGACAGGTCAATAACCAAATGGCAAAACATCATGTCTGTTATGGGACATTCTGCAGCCTAACTATCTATCCCAAGTTCTTCCACAAAATGCTATCAAGTTAACTAAGCTTTGCTACAGATCATCTGCCACAAGAACTTATTTAACTATGAGTTCAGATCTCAATAAATATGCCAATTACACTCCAGAAAGCTGTTAACATAACTTGCTAATCGAATTCTGCTGTGAAATTCTAACATTAATCATTCCAGATACTAAGTACAGCATTGGGTTGAGCAGCTAGTCAAGTTAAAGAACTTTTTTTTGGTCAACTCCCATAAAACGAGAGTTCACCAATCATGAAAAATGAAAGCATGGTAAAACATTGCCAAAATCTAAAATTAGTCATACCTCAGAAAGAACTACGTAGTGACTTTAATAATGAAAAAGTTTCAAGTTAGGTCACTGAAAAGGGATCTGTCATTTTTCACTGAAATTACTGTCTTGCCATCTAATACAGTACTTCTTTAAAAATACATACAGCTATATTGAAAGTGAGAGAGAAGAATAGAAACACTGTAAGATTGATGATTTGACATGTTAAATATTAAGATCCGTATTTACAGCTCTTCAGCTCTAGGAACTTGGTAAGTTTGGACTGGCAAACATGATACTTTTACCCTTAAATCCAAAGGCACAGCGCAAGCTCGTTTCAGTTCCCAAAAGCTATCTGATAATCCAGTGTCTTCTGCAAAATGAGCTGACAGTTTCTTAATTCCAGTAAGTACTGTCCACATCAGAAAACTGTAAAGAACTGTTTTAAAGGCACCTTTCTAGCAGTCTTAACACTGAGCTACAAAGCCTGAATGGCTTCTGGAAGTTAATGGTCCAGTGGTACCCATCAACATCTTGATACTATGCTGAACCAGGAGTAACTTGTTTTACCATCATCTGTATCATTCTACTACTGTCACAACATCTCTCCTATATCACTTAAACATGAAAAGAAAGACCAACCAGGGGTAATGGCTAGGTTATCTGCATGAGAGCGCTGCTACAAATCAGGATTTTTTTTTTTTTTTTTTAATCCAAAGAGAAAACACAAGAGCTAATAAGGAAAGGATTGTCTGGGTATCTACTGGTGATTAAGAAATAGAGAAAACAAGCTCCAGCAGGTTTCTTCATTTTCTTGTAAACTTCAGCATCAGGACACTGAATGCACTACAAAAAAAATCCTAACCACTCTGTGAGAACATGCACTCCTGCTATAACTGAGGTCAACTAAATTGAAGTGGTGCAAACAGATAGCAGAATGAATGAAAGAAGAAAACAGAATTTAAAAATCTTTTCTGAAGAAGCAGATTTGAAGTTTGAGCAGACTAACACCTAATTAGCTCACATCATTTATAATAGGAAGTGAAATTAAGCATGATTAAGGATTTCATGCACTGTTAGGCATCCTGAACCAAATTCCATTGTTGCTTACACTTTGAAGAGATTATTTGTGCAATCCCCAGTGATTTCAACATAGAAATTGCCAATATGTTTCTAAAATAAAGATACTGAACTTGAAGCTAGAAGATTCATGATTGCTCTTGCATGTTGGTCTTGTTATTAAAACTTACATTCTCTTAAGCTTCTTGTATTGGGTAAAAGCTCCAGGGGGAATGATTTTGATGAGGTTTTGTTCCAAACGTCTGAAAACAAACAAAGTAATATAGATGTTATACAATTATAAGACAGGAATAACACCAAGTATGATAGCAAATTTTTCTATAAATATAAAACAAATTTATAGACTTTTTATGCAATTTTTTTTCTTTTGCAAGCCACTAAATGGAGAAAATACTGAGAAAATAACTTAAAAAATAAAATCACCTCACTGATTAAACTAAATCCGTATGGAAAAATGTCACAGGCTATAGAAATTGCATCGTTAAAGCTCATGGAATTAATAAGAAAAAGAAGGTAGCTATGTAAACTAAAAGCTATACTATGTTGTGACAGCTTAATAAGGAGATTAATAATACTATCAGAGCAACTCAGGAGCAACAGTCTGTGGGAACATGCTGAAGTGCCTTCCCTGTATCCACCATTTGCATTAATATCACTTTTGCAAAACAAAGTGGAATTCACTGCAATACAAATACAGATGTTTAAGGGGTGGGAGGAAAGTCTGTGTTAAAGCAGAGCAAAAAAGGACTGTATCTTCCCATTTTAACTACCAAATACTGAAGGTGTTCTAAAATATGCTCCAGACTACATGAAAATGCTGTTGCTTTCATTTCTGAGATTTGGTTTGAAAGAAGTATTCTTTATCATAAATGCATTTATCATTAACATAAAATATAAGCAGTTTTAAGATACTGCATACAGTAACCATTAAGATTAATTTCTGTTCCTTCCCAGAAATATTTTCAAGTCTTTGTCATCAAGTTCCCCAAATTACTGCTAAAAGGACTCAGATGAACCCTAAATATTCATCTCAATTAGAAATGTAAAAGTGGACCGTCATACAACAAATTCAAATGACCATGGCAGCTAAAATCCTACAGTCAGACTTGTAATTGAAAGCAAAATTTGATTTTACCTAGCTCTTTTATTATTCAAACATGTGTATTTTTTTCCAAAAGTGTCATAAAAAGAAACAGTTTCAATAGCAAAAATCTCTGGTTGGAAATGGTTTAGAATCGAAATACAGACGTATACTGGAATGATGGAATGAATCACTCTAGACATTTAGAGCTGCTGCAGCAGTGCAGAGGGGAGAGAAAAATTTTAAAACCAGGAATGGAGATAAAATGTGATGCAGGGAGAAGTAAATCATGGTTTTTAAAGGACTTGGGAATAATGTAGAGAAAACATGTAAGGCCCATCAGCCCTCTATCGCATAATGTACCCTGCTGATTTGTGCTCTCAATAAACAAAAGAAAAACCCCCTTGAAAATAAGGTATTTTGCCAGCTCAGTTATTCTCCAAGAATCTATTTAAGTCTTGAATACTGTGACACTTGCAGAGTCAACTTGTACAGTCAACGTGCATGCACGCTTATTTCTGTAGCAGTCTATTTTAAAGGTTCTGATCAGAGTTAATTCTACTCCTTGTTTTGTGATTTGAATTAGTGTCTGAGATTTCCCTTCCAGTGGGTCTAAATATAACATGCTTCATTTCTGGCAAGTCCACAGTGAAATGCAAATTACTGGAAGCTTCAGCACGCTACTATTGTTGGGTGTTTGTCACCAGAATTAGCAGTACACATACTCTTCCCATAAAGGCTTTTTGTCAGCTTGCCAGTTTGGTGTTTAACTCCTCCCAAGTGCTTCTCTGCAGACACTTCTAGGAACAAAGACGGCTATGCCTGTCCAATTCCCAAGCCGTATGGATAGAAATTGGGGGTTCACACATGCTGCACATAGGCACAGCACAGCAGTCCCTACAGGGAAAATCAAATATGGTGATGGGGGGAAACATGTCCCCTTTCTATAATCACTTAAAATTCCAAGGAAATTTTAGTGACTCAGGGGTGAAGATATGCAAAGAAATTTTGCCCCTAAGGGGAAAAAAAAAAGCCAAAATTGGAATAGCCACAGATCCCAAGTAATAAGAAAAAAAGAAATTTCTTGAAAAGGCAGAGATGAACAGAGAGAGTTGTTTCAGAGAGCTACCTTCTGAAGCAGTACTGAATTCTTCACCCTTTCCTACAAGATTTGCAGCAGTACAGATGGCCTGTACTGAAATAGATGGACAAGGCGCTTGTCATCTGCTGCTGTATTTTCACCTTAGCACCTTACATTTTTTTATTGTATGAAGCTCTCTGTAAATGAAGGACTAAAGACTACACAACACATTATGCTTAGCGCACTACATTTTGCAGATGCTACCAGAGAAGCAACAAGCAGCACCATGTGCTCTCCTCAGGGTGTGTTTGCAGGTGGATTCCAACTGCTGCACAAAATGCAGCTGATCTTGGAGCATTAAAGCGCGGCATTACATAAGCAGGTATTTTAAAAGTATGAAGTACTAATATGACTTGCATTTTTTTTTCATAAATGCATGTTATAGAGTGGTAGGCATAGGCTGAAAAAAATGCAGCTACACAACTAAAATAGTAGAAAACAAATTATTTGTATTAACACTTTGTGCTTTCACAGAATCATTAAGGTTGGAAAAGACCTTTAAGATCATCTGAGTTTATAAATGACATGTGAAGGACAGTACAGGACTAAAAATCTCCAGGAAACACTAGGTTTGGCCAGAAGGGGTGTTGGCAACTCCAAGGTGATGAAGGCTTAATTATAAACCAGCATTATTCATGATATAATGGGAAACTGCTGCTAAGGTGGCCTCTTTCAAAAAAAGTGAAAAACAGAGTTCTTACCCAGGGTTGTAATTTTTTTCTGCAAAAAGTGAAAAGCTAATCTAAATTTTATAGCCACATTTTATTTCAGAGAGAATTACCTAGTTTACCTAGAACATGACATCTGGAAAACTGTGTTTTTCAAGGTCTAACCCTGCATACAGTGAAGTGCTGTCATACACTGCAAAACCACCTGTGCTAGTGCAAAGCAACATCGATGAGTTCTTTTTTTTGTGTATCACCAGAATATACTCTAAAATAATTTTACAACACATTTGAGAACTCCATACAAGAGAGACAGTCCTAAAAGGCTAAATTTTGATCATTTTAACTACTACTATCCCACATTTAAGATTCTTACAACTCAAAAAAAATTTTCCTTGATTTTCCTCTGGAATTTCATGATAAAATCTATTTAAAAGACTCTACAAGTAGAATTCACAAGACTGATAAAATAAATTGGCCATGTTCAAACCTCTCAGGGGCTTTCTGTCACCCGTTTCACTGTGCCATGTTGCCTGCTGCCAGCTGTATCGCTTAGATGAATTGAAGCCTGTCTCCCCATTCCTGACATGCAGCAATGCTCTGTCTGTCTCTCGAAGCTCTGTTTTAGCGTCTTTGACAACAACATGAAAGGACAAGAACAATTTCCTTTCTTTTCTCTAATATATTATGAGAGATTGGAAAGGATGAGGGCCCAATGGATTCAGATGCGTTTTTCTTATAATAACATGATGTTAGACAGGATAAAGTCCTCCTCCTTCCCACTTTCTTTAAATGACTTTGCAGCAATGAGAGCAAAAAGTAAACTATCGGAGAAAAAAGTTCAAACACACAGGGGGAAACCTTGCAGTTAAATATGAAAAACGAGCCCAGAGTAAAGAATAAGCACGCAAATTCCCATGCTAATCCATCTCAAAGTTCATTGAGGTGCAAATCTTTTCATCATCTCCTCATCTGGTGCCTGTACTGCTCACACCCAGGATGGCAAAACACAAAGGATAAAAAAATCTGCCTAATGCAGCCTTCCTAGAGCCAGCTCACACTCTCAGGAGTGACGAAGCCATTTGTCTTGAAGAGTGATTCCCCCTGCAGAGTGGGGGAGACAGACATATTAATTTGGGCCTTAACTATCTCCCTTTCATTGAAGGAAAGAAAGAATTTGTTATTTGGGTCTTTAATGGAGCAGTTTGCGAGCAATTTTCCAATTTCAAACACCATCTCAGACGCTAATGTGTAATGTTTTGTCAAGATTACCTACCCATAACATAGACAAATCACTAGCTTGGAGAAAAAGAGAGACGGAGTGAAGCATCAGTACTGATAATTCTGAGCTGTCAGATGAAAAGAGCCTATATGTGAGACAGCCATGCTCTATTAGCAGTGCCACGGCGCTCTTGCCCGAGACGTGTCAGAAACGTCCCTCTGCACCGGGCAGTCATCAACTTCCCTGCTGGGAAAGAGAGGGAAAGCGAGTGAATGAGCCAGACCGCTCCCCGGATCACGTCACTCAGCTCCCAGTGCTGCGGCTCTTTCGGGCTTGCAGCACTCAGGCAGCCAATAACCAAAATCTCCGAGAGGGAGAAAGCGTAAGATCAGATTAGTGTGCAGCAGCTATCCGTAGCACACCCGTGCCTGGCAGGATGCACTCAACTCACGTGAAGGTTGTTGGGAAGGGCGAAACCCTCGCTTTTCTCTGCCCTGTAAGCAGGGATGTGCAGGGAGCTGGTTAAGGACTGTTTGGGGGGAAATAAGCAGCATGTGCATCCCCCCTAGTGACAAACCCAAGGCTGGGGAGAACCGTTAATATTAGGGAGGAGGAAACTTCTACAGCAGATACCAATCAAAAGAGAGACTGTTCCCCCTTGTCAAGGAGCAACAACAACTGGATTATAGAAGCTGCTTGGACCATTATTTTACATTTATATCATATTTTGGACGTGCGTAGCTTATCATACATTTTGGTCTCTGATGAAGACAAGCCAAGAGATATATTTTCAGTATTTAAAAGGAATAAATCATACTTAGTATCTGGTCTTCTTACTACAAATACGGGCTAGATCTGATCTCTGTCCTGACTCCTTTCTTAAATCTTCATTTGAAATATAAGCGTTATTCCTACATGCACCCAAAGGCAGCCCTGGATGGGAGGCACCCCTCTTGGGAAGGAAGGAACCCTGCCCTGCAGTTACGCAGTCAGAACCTGTGGCTTATTCTGCAGTGAAAAACGCAGAAGCCGCAGTCATCGCCCTTGACGCCACAGTACTGCAGCAGTGCACAGGGCACTTCTCTGCAAAGTGCAAGGCAAAAAACCTGCAGTCCTGTTGCTTCAGAAAGTGT